GGAATCGTCAGGGGTGATGCACGGCCTAGGAACTCTGTAATCATCATCCTCGTCTGTTTCTTGCTTCTCCGATTTGGTCGGGGCCGGTACCGGTGATTGCTATTTAGTTTTTTCTTTCCTAACCAGTTCCGGGTTCTTTGATGTTGAGAGTACGGATATCGGGATCACCTAGTCGACCGCGAACATTTCTTTTGCGGCCAGCTGCTCTCTGTAAACCGTCTTGATCCCTTCCAGTGTGGGGAACCTCAGTGCCTGGTGTAGTGTCGAGGGTATTGCCCTCATGTTATGAATCCATGGCCTTCCGAATAGAGCATTATATCTCATATCCCCTTCAATCACATAGAACTTCATTTTTTGAATGGTCCCGGTAGGGTTATCTCCCCTTTAGTAGTTTAGCATGCCACGTTGAATCTATTTAAAACCCCAACTTCAGGCACTATTTGGTCTTGTAGACCCAGCTGCTCTACGACCCTTGATCTGATGATATTAGCCGAGCTATCTGGATCAATTAACACATGCTTAACTCAAGATTTATTCATGAGTACAGATATTACCAGTGCATCATTATGTGGTTTCACATGCCTTCAGTGTCCTCATCGTTGAAAGAGATAGTCCCCTCCGGCATGTAATCTCGGGTTTGTTTTTCCCTTGTAATTGATACCTTAGTGCTCTTTAGCATTGGCCCCTAGGGGACGTTGACTCCACTAATGATCATGTTGATGACATGCTGAGGTTCCTCTTGCTCGGTCTATTTGTGGGAGTCCATATTCCTGAAGTGAGTTTTGGCTCGATCACTCATAAATTCCCGGAGGTGCCTATTATTGAATAACCGGGCCACTTCTTCTCTTAGCTGTCGGCAATCTTCGGTGCTGTGTCCGTGAGTGCCATGATACTTGCACATCAGGTTGGGGTCTCTTTGGGCAAGATCGGACTGCAATGGCCGAGGCCACTTGGTATCTTTGATGCGTCCGATGGCAGATACAATTCCAGCAGCATCGACACTAAATTTGTATTCTGATAATCTCGGTGCCTCTCTGACCCCGTGTGGCATGTCGAAACTGTTTTTACTCATGAGCCCTGGCTATTGTGGCCTCGATCGCTCCTTTTTTCGTTCCTCACAGGGTTACGTCCGGATCCGCTACCCCTTCGATCTCCGCTATACGGTTGATACCGTTCTCTATTCTGTCTTGTTTCATGATCAATGACTCTTTTAGACCTGTCATTAGTTCTGATGGGATACACGGACCCGGGAGGGGCTTCGAGCTGATCATCCTCAACTCTGATTTTCGATTGGTACCTGTTATGGACGTCAATCCAAGTTACCTCCGGGTACTCTATCAAATTCTGTTTCAGATGCTGTGTAGCCAAGGAGCTATGGTGGTTGAGTCCTTGAGTGAACTCCCGAATGGCCTAATCGTCCGCAACTGGAGGCAGGTCCATTCGTTCCATTTGAAACCTCAACACAAATTCCCTGAGCATTTTGTTATCTCTTTGTTTCACTTTAAAGAGGACTGATTTACTGGTCTCGACCTTGATGGCCATGGCATGAGCATTTACGAAGGCATCTGCAAGCATTGCAAACGAATCAATGTAATTAGGGGGTAGGTTGTGATAACATAGCATTGCTCCTTTCGACAGTGTTTCTCCAAACTTTTTCAGTAGAACCGACTCAATTTCGTAATCTTCTAAGTCATTTCCCTTGATGGCACACATGTAGGATGTCACATGTTCATTTGGATTCGTGATTCCGTTATACTTTGGAATTTCGGGCATACGGAACTTCTTCAAGATCGGTTTCGGTGCTGCGCTCAGAGGGAAAGGCTTTTGGACAAATTTCTTGGAATCCAGGCATTTCAATAACGGGGGTGCTCCTGGGGTTTGATCAACCTTAGAGTTATAGGTCTCCACTATTTTGTCGTTGGCTTCAATCTTCTTTTTCCACGATTCCACCCGCTTTGTCAGTTCCTCAAGCATCTTTATTATTTCGAGGTTGGTCCCGGGTTCAACTTCACCCGGCCTTTCTGTGGTTGGTTCATTTCTTCGGGTGTTTTCCCAGGATGGTTCGGGCTCAACTCTGCTGGAGGCGCGGCTTTGGTTCTGTAGTTGAGCTATCACCGCATGTTGAGCTTGTAACATTTCGAAGATCACCCGCAAATTGATCCCATCACCTTCACCGTCGTGCGTACCCCGAGCTATTGATCAGGCTCCTCCGCGAACGCTGTTCTCGGGGCCAGTAGGCAAGTTTGCGTCGATGGCCACATGCGAGTTGGCATCGATTGGGTCCGCGACAGGAACTCATTTTTGGGCACTATATTGTTGTTCTCACCATGGTGGCCAAACTCAGCATCAACGTTCAAGTGGGCAGATTAAGAGTTTGACATTTTTAAATTGACCTGAAATTAAAATCTCAAAGAAAAAGCATAAAATAGAGTGCGTTATGGAAATTTGTATCAAATTGCCACTATTATCCTTAGCCCCACGGTGGGCGCCAAACTGTTTACCCATAAAAACGGATAACAATTGAATTTATACGCAGTTTTAAGGATATATACATTAATTCAATACAAGCGATTTATGACGTTAGATTAAGCAAATAAAAGATAGTAATAAATGACCAAACCAATGATAAGAATGAGTCTGAGCTCGGTTAATGGCTTAACGAGGAACCTGCCTTCGATTCCGAGCTAAAGCTTATGAAGAACTTATGAACAAGAATAAGAACTTTGAATAGCTTTCAAAAACAAAAGTATATTGCCTTGGTATACGTGTTACTGTGTCTAATGAACAATAAGCTTCTCCTTTATATAGTAGGGGAGTTTTACACTAAGTACAATCCTAAGAAAGGTAATAATCTTCATCTTCGCTAATCACTGATTTTCTGCCGATACGGGCCGAGATTCACTCCGTGATATCCGATTGTGCACGGACATCACAGCTCTTTGTTAGTCATGTGCGGTTGTTTGGTAATGCTCTCTGAAGTCTTAGGACTCGAACTGGACCCGGAGGACGTGGTTCCGATGCCCCCGGGGGCAGGTGTTTTACTCGCCCCCAGATACGAGGGGCTCTTTGCTCTAATTCTAATTCCTTACGGCCACGTCCCTGCTCTGTTTGCCTTATCGGGAAACTAGGGTGCTCAGTGGGCTCGATTTTACCCGTATACACCAATAAAGGAAAATAAATAAATAAATAAATAAATAAACAAATAAATACACGTGAGGAATGTCAATATCAGGTCCGTTGCTAGTCCTTATTAATTGACCCAAAAAAAAAGTAGTCGTAATTAATTAAATTATTTAGATACCAAATTAGAAAGAAACCAAAAAGTGGTCGCGCCCACTCAAAATCTCAAAAGTTTTCCACAAGCAAAGATCTAAGAACTGGAATATAATTTAGTCCTGTCAATTTTGATTTTTGGCTACTTGTATAATATGGAAATCGACGCAAACATAAGTAAACAGTTTAATAGAAATAGGTAGATCGAAGCTCCTCAATCAAATACCCTTCTTACTTAACGACTAGAAGAGAATATAAAATTAACAAATAAAATGTAACGTTACACTTGTAATACAAACTAGAATTAGGAGATTTGAATATTATAATAAGTTAAAGTTTGTTTATTTATTTATTAATATCATTAATAACGTACAGACAATTTCATAACATATTATAAAAAGAAAATATCAAGATGCAGGACGGTTCCTTGTCTTACTTACTACTAGTAATATCTACATATAACATGTGTACATGAATTAAAATTTCAAATATATGCTACTAACATTGAGCTTTAAAATGCGTACATGGTGAATTAGAAAGACACGATATAAAAACCTAGCTTTACAAGTGTATAATTAGATATAAGACAAAGGTAATTTAGTTCCGGGTTGAGGTTAGTAAATTTTATGGGTGATCATTCAACTTTGTGTTCATTACGCAAAAGCCATTTTTCTTCTTTTTGTTACATAAAAATTATTCAACTTTGTGCTCATTATCCAAAAGTCATTTTTCTTTCTTTTGTTACACAAAAAATATTTTACTTTGCTCTATTTATCACAAAAAGTCGCACTTGTCAGATTTTATAATACTTTTACTTGAAAAGTTTATTATGTCATTGACATTATAAATCCTCTCATTTATATAATACCTTCTATATTATTTACTATATAATATATTTTTATATAGGTATTTTACTTATAATTAAAATAACTTTAAATTATTTTATTTATTATTTTTATAATATATTTCATACATTTAAGTTTTCCATGGCACTCAAGTTGTTTAATCATATTCAAACATGAACATATTTTAAATATAAAAATGATAAAAAATATTTTATTTTTAAATATTTATTTAAAATAATAAAAATATATTTGTTTAACAAATGATAGTTTTTTATAGTCAATAAAAATTTTAATAAAAGTTTATATTTGTGTTTAATATTAAATTTTTAAAGCTTTATCTGTTAATATTATTTATTTGAAAGTATTAATCTTATGTGTCACTTTGCTAAATGTAGGCATTTTATTTATTAAATTAATGGGTATGGCTTGGCTAATAAGTCAATGAGCTTTGATTTTTTAATTTTCATTAAGTATGATTAAGAACTTGGACTGGAGATTTATTCACGGTAATGTTACTAACAAATTTAATAATGCTACTTATATATCTTAAAAATTAATATTAAAAAAATATTAAATGTACGAATATGTTATAAAAATAATAAATAAAATAATATTAAATTATTTTAATTATAAGAAAAATACCTGGGTAAAAGTATATTATATAACATATAATTTAGAAGGTATTACATAAATTGGAGGATTTATAATGTCAGGGGCATAATAGACTTTTCAGGTTAAAGGTTTGTAAGATTTGGTTAAAGTAATTATTGTGATAACTAGAGTATAGTAAAATGATTTTTAAGTAATGAACTCAAAGTTGAATAATTTTTACATTAAAAAAAAAATAAATTGAATACAAATACAAAGTTGAATCACCGTCTATTAAATTTAGTCGTGATACATAACCGAATAATTATCAATTTTTCATTAATCCGTATTTGGTTTAAGCCGATAACACAGTAGTTTCTAACAAAGCAAATCAAAATAAAAGTAAATCTCTACAACTCTTTCCTTTTCCTTTCCAATAAAGAATTCGAACCCCAAAAATGAATGTTTAACAACGAGACTCCATTGGATCAGACTTCGAGCCCCTAACCATCATAACCTTAAATTCTTCAAAATCAATCATCCCGTCGCCGTCACAATCAACGCCACCGATCATTTTCCGGCACTCTTCCAGCGAACATTCTTCCCCTAAACTCTTCATCACGTTCTGCAACTCATCAGCAGAGATGGATCCATTCTTGTCCACATCAAACACAGAGAAAGCTTCCTTAAGATTCTCCAAAATGTCATTCGAATCGATATTCTTGGTGTTGAGTTCGATGAATTCTTGCAAATCGATGAAACCATCTCCGTCGGCGTCAACTTCCTTAATCATGTTTACCGATTCTTCTTCCGTTACGGCGTTTCCTAGGCTGGCCATGATGCAACCCAGTTCCGACGATGAGATTTTTCCGTCGCCGTTAATGTCGAACTTATTGAACACCTGCTCTAGCTCCTCTTCGATTTTGGGCGGAGAGCTTACCGGCGATGGGGTTTTCGAGTTGGGGAAGCTCTTCTTCTTGCGATTGAACAGAGATTTGAATCCCATACCTAAAGGGCCGGGTGAATTATTAAAGAACAGAATGCAAGAGAGAGAGAAGAGATAATTGGGAGATTTGTTTGAGAGGATTATAAAAGGGATAGTTTGAAATATTTATTAAGTATTTTCTAGAGTTCTATACCTTTTTGAATTTTGACGAAACTTGTGTTAGCATACTGGAGAGACTGCGTGAATGCACGATGAGAAACATGCCGTCCGTACCTACCATTGTGAACTAATTAAAATTCTCGTCAAATTAAAATTTATGTCAAAAAAATAATATAATATGACTCTTTTAACTTATGTTGATATAGTTTGAATTGACATGAAAAAGTAATTACTTCTAAAATTTGAAAGTTTAAATATGCTATTGTTTACCCGAAAAACGGATAGAGTTGAATTTATACGTAGTTCTAAAGATACGTGGTATAAATTGGTACAAATCGGGAAAGATACATAAATGTGTATTGAAATTAGTTATAAAAGAAATGAATGCAAATCAGATGAACTAATTAGCTTAAGCTTTTAAGTTTAATCACCTCCAAATCGGGTAAGAACGATTGATAGAAGAAACAATTTGACTAAAATACCAAAAGCTACCAAAAGATAGTATTGGCTCTGTTTTCTGTATATATTAGAATGAATGTGTGTATGAATCAATCTCCTCTTACAAATGATAACCACTCTTAATATAGTGGGGGAATCCCATTTTGGGTATAATTAAAAATACATAATGGGATTCCATGATGGACTAATTAATTAACGTTTCCTTGATTTTCGCCGAGATTCTCTCTCCAAATGCGGCTATAACGGTTCTTTTGTCCCTTGGCTCGATCTCGATTTTGGCCGGTCTCGGTATGGGTCGGTCTCTGGGTCTCGAGCTCGATATTATGATGACGAACCTCAGTCCATCATGCTCCAATCTTGATTAATCACACGAAGGGCAAACTCGATTTTGACTGTATACAAATAGTCCCCTCGTTTCACGGAAAGAAGATGGCGAGAAACGATATGATTTTTCAACCTCCGACTAGACGAATACTAACGTCTGCGACGAGCCTGATTGTGACGTATGTGACAAACGTCCTATCGGTCCAGTTACCAAGGCATTAAATGTGCATCAGTCGATGGTCGGTCACTGTCAATTTTGAACCGTCGCTGTGAAATCTATAAATAGCCCCTTTCTTCAATATTTCAAACTTTTACCTTTAAACCTTTTTCATTCCAATCTTCACAGTCATTCGCCTTCTCCAAAGCTTCCTATTTTCAGGTTTTGGAATTTCTTTGCTTGTTCTTCTCAAAACATCAAATACTTCAATCTCCCTTCTTCTTTGTTCACAGAAATTTAGATAGCCAAAACATCTAAAACAGTTCCGCAAAAAAAGGTCGCTTCTTCATCACGACTAGCCGGGCGGTGAGGATGCAGCGGAGCCTCGCCCTGAGGAATTCGTTCCGGTATGGTGTTCAACTGTCAGTGATTTTAAGGTTGAAAAACCTTCATCGGTACCGAGCCGATGTCGAGGTACCAGTGTACAATCACCGAGAAAATTCTCGAGAAAGTCAAACAAGAATGCAACTGGGACGATAAGCACGTGGTAGTCCCATCGCCTTATGAATCAATTACTACCCACGTGGAAGGGTTCCTAAGTGTTTATACTCATCCTTTCCCGTTGGGTCCTTTAGACCCTGTCATCGTCTCCTTTTGCAAGAGATACGACGTGACCCTCGGCCAGATCCATCCTTATTTTTGGAGAATAGTGATTCTTCTCCGATTTTTCTCGAGCAAAATCGAGGGGTGTCTTTTCACCCTCGACCACCTTATGTGCCTTTATAGTCCCCGACTTTATCAAGGAGGGTTAATCAAGCTTGTTCGCCGAGCCACCAAAGTGTCATTCTCGAGTATAGACGAGACTCGTGATCGAGGTTGGATGGGCCGATTTGTTCGAGTCAAAACCTCGGACCTGATCCCCGCCGATGACATGCCATTTCCTGAGAAATAGAATATGAATCGTGAGCACTTATTTCACTTCGTTTGTTTTAATTTTGTAACTGCCTTTCATTTTCTTGATCCATTTTTCTTTCTTGTCACAGTTATGGCTCGGATGCCTGAGCCGATTCCGGATATTAAACAATGGGTTGAAGGTTTGGTGCTGCAGAGACCGTAGTCCGAGCACGCTTGGGTGGAATTATCAAAGGGTCGATGGGAGGCCCGTAGTCATGGTAAGTCTCTTTCTTAATTTGTTTGTCATTTGCTCTTCTTTACTTGCTTAACCCCATTTTTCCCTTTGTAGGACTTGGGAAGGACGTTGCCATGAGGCTCACATCTGGTGATGAGGAGGTTCCTGTCCCAAAGCAAATTAAATAAAAGAAGAGAAAAGATGTACCGAGCTCCCCAGTCTCGGAAAAGAAAAAACAGGTGAAGAAATCTCGCAAGCCAAAAGGGGCCCCCGGTGTTATGCTTTCGGAATCGATCCACCGATTAAGGGACGAGCCCGAAGAAGGAGAAGAGAAATTAGCCGGTGTACGGGCTAATTTTGTGATACAACAATCTTCCGAAACGACGAAAGTGAATAAGGGAACCCTGGCCATAATCCCGGAACAAGAAAAAGTCGAGACTATTCTGTCTCGGGCTGAGATAGTTGAAGGGGAGATCGAGGGTAGGACTTCTCGGGCAGCAGAAAATACCTCGAGGGATAAGCTCAAGATAGTTGATATTAGCAGATCCCCTCAGATTTCGGATGCTATGATCCGTGAGGCCAGCATGATGGAAGGTCGATCCTACGAGGGCATTCAGAAGCCGATCGATATCCACGGTATTCTGGATGGGCTCGAGTCAGCTACCTCGGAGGTGTTTATTGGGTTCGTTGGATTACCGATACCAAAGAAAATATCATGGTCGGGCTCTACCGGGTCTTCATCGGTTCCAAAACTAGTGGACCGATTCTTGGCCCCGAGTATTGATCCTTATCGTAGGCGAAAGGTGGTTCTCTCAGTCCTAGAGGATACCCGAATTTTCTCTCCCCCATGGGGATTGCTAGTTACCTTCGGTCTCTAGTGACCGAAGAGAATCAAGCAGTGATGAATGTGGTAGGACCCGCCTGTCTTTTCAACGAGGCCCAGCATGCTCTGAATTGGGTAACTTCGATGGCATCTATATTGTTTCTTTTATACTTGTTGTAGATAATTCTAACATTTTTACCCATGTTTGTAGGCTTTGGTGTTGCATCACGAGGCTTTCCTCCGAATCTGAGAGGAGCATGAGGCCGAGGTTCGGGGCCTCACTGAGAAGAGTGACTCCTATAAACTTCTTAGCGAGAAACTTCGAACAGATTTGGCAGCGGCTCGGGATGAGCACGAGGAGATAGCCGAGCAGATATTCTGAATTCTTCACGACAGTGAATATGAATTGGAGATAACCACTAGCAACCCGATTCTGCAGGTTCGGCAGAGGCTTGATGGCTCAACTCGCAAATAGATAAGCTAATGGCCGAAGGGGAAAAATTCAAAGAAAATATGGATATCCTCGCCTTCAAAAAGGAGGTCGTTCAAGCGCAATTGTAGTCAGCTGAGGCTCAGCTTCGGGCTGCAAAAGAAAATACCTCGGTGCAGATCGATAGGGTTAAAGAGCTTCAGAGCCGGTTAGATTTGGCCACTTCCGATAAGGCAAGCTTGGCTAATGAACTCGAAGTGGTCAGATTTGAGGTGATCGAGGCTAATAAAAGAGCTGATGCTAAAGTGGCCCAGTTCAGGATCAATGTTGAGGTTAACCAGGCCAAGGCCAATAGCATGGTCGAACATGGTAAATGGCAAGCTCGAAGAGAAGCTCTCGAGGAGGTCAGTTCTCAGGGCTTCGATGTTAAGGCCGAAATTAAAAATGCCAAGACGAAGGAAAATAGGGCTCGAAGGCTGGCCTTTCCTGAGGAAGACTCCGATAGCTCAAGCGAATCTGAAGGTGGGGAAGATCCCGAGGACGTGGCCTCCGATGAAGACTAAGCCATTTAGGACCTTAAGTAGTTTTTGTTATTTCTATCGAGGCTGCTTGGGCCTTTGTAAAGAACTTCCTTCGGGTTGTGTTTCCTTTGTAAAAGATTTTGATGTATAAATAAAACTTTTCCCTTCTATGGCTTCTGAATCTTTTGCCTTTTTGTTAACTTATACAAAGGTCAAAAAGTGCCTTAGCATGGAATAATTATTCGAAGGTCCGATTGAGATAGTAAGGACCGATAGCAGGTGCTACACTCGACATTTTCTTATAGGTAGTCCCCGAGTGAATGTTCGAACTCGACCTCAGGTGGCTCTTAGGCTTGATAAATAGATGTCAGGTGAAATGATTCGCTCGAACTCGAAGCAAAGTAGCCCTTAGGCTTTACAGTCGAGTGAGAATGATTTCTCGAACTCGAATTAAGGTAGCCCTTGGGCTTTACAGTCGAGTGTGAATAATTTCTCGAACTCGAATTAAGGTAGACCTTAGGCTTTGTAGTCGAGTGAGAATGATTTCTCAAACTCGAATCAAGGTAGCCCTTAGGCTTTGTAGTCGAATAAGAATGATTTCTCGAACTCGAATTAAGGTAGCCTATAGGCTTTGTAGTCGAGTGAGAATGATTTCTCGAACTCGAATTAAGGTCGCCCTTAGGCTTTGTAGTCGAGTGAGAATGATTTCTCGAATTAAGGTAGCCCTTAGGCTTTACAGTCGAGTGAGAATGATTTCTCGAACTCGAATTAAGGTAGCCCTTAGGCTTTGTAGTCGAGTGAGAATGATTTCTCGAACTCGAATCAAGGTAGCCCTTAGGCTTTGTAGTCGAGTGAGAATAATATCTCGAACTCGAATTAAGGTAGCCCTTAGGCTTTATAGTCGAGTGAGAATGATTTCTCGAACTCGTATTAAGGTCGCCCTTAGGCTTTGTATAATTCAATCTAGTAGATTTTTCGGATGGCAGTCCCCGATTTGTGGGGTAATTATTCGAACTCCGGTCATGGTCGGCCCTTAAGCCTGTTTGCATAATAGATCGAGAATATGAAGTAGAAGAACTTTTCTGAGGTATGAGATATCGGTAAATAAGAAATTTCTCTTTTATAGGTCATTATACATGTGTACATGTTTTGTGCCAGGGCTCGAGCAAACTATGCGGGCATGGTCCGTTTGACCATTTGGCCCTTACAAATTTTTTCTATC